AAGCAAATGTAGCCATGTTTGTTACAGTTTTGAGCGTGTCTCAGTGGGATGGACATGGTCATTTATAGAGCATTCTGATGAGCTCATGAGTTTAATGCACATTTAAAAAAAATAAGAAAGAAAAATCTCATGAGATTGAGAACATCTGTCTTTGCATGCACGCTGGGTGTACGTGGCTGATGATTCTTTAAGAGAACAACGATTTCATGTTGAAAATTTTGCTACAATTTACCTTTTTAGGTCATATTTTTAATGATCGAAATCGTTTGGATAGAATATTAGCAAGTATTAATATTTGGATTTTTACGAATATGAAGTCAAATAGATAAAATAGAAGTTTCTTTTCAAGTAATGTTAATTACGCTTCATTGTGTCTCAATAATGGGATAGAATGGACTACTCATTATATTCAATTTTTCATTTGGAGGAAATTGAGAGGTGGATTAGATGTTAAGAAAACTTATCATTCTAGTTCTATCATTTGAGGAGAATTGGTATTGTAAAGTTGTTTTAAGAGTATCATCTTCTACCTTTAAGTTGTACACAAAGTTTCATTTCTCACTTTGACATACCTTAAATAGTTCGGCAACAAACAAATCCTTTCACACATATAAGTTAACCACGATATCGAGACTCACTGATGCAGATGTGTCCTACATATATGATATGACCAAACTTAATTTGAGAGTGTTAGCAATTTGGTTAATTTTGTGTCTAAACTTATTTAGGTCTTATCTTATTTTATGATATACACGATACAAGTTTTTATGAATCGGATTTAGAGATTTCTAAAACCATTTAATATCTAGCCTATGATATTATATGCCATGTTGTAAAATTTCACACAGTGTAGTTGTGTAAATTTTATGTAGCTATAATATAGGAATCGGACCTAAAAGATCTTTGTTATTAGACTTTGTATTACTTGAGCAGGAAGTTATTCTCTTCCTTTAATTATTACTAGCCTCTTGCCACACGCATATGCGTATGGCAATTGGCCTTTTTATATTTTTTTATTTAAATAATTAATTTACATATTTTAAAAAAATTATTAAAAAAAAAGAAATGAATTAATGACTTGAAACCACCTACTAACGTGGGAGGTTTTGTTTTTTTTTCTCTCTATAATTTGAAATATTAAATTCATTCAAAATAAAATTATGGTTAAATACTTTAGCTTCTCTTGGTTCAATTGTAATTTATGAAATTCTTAAAGGGAAATTTATGGTATTTCAAATGTTTTACCATTTTAGGGTGTTCACTTTATATATATAGATAAATAAAAGCACCAAGCATGAAATCAACATGTTTTGTTGTTGAAAAAAAAAGATATTATCTACACTAAAGGAGAGGAGATGGGCTTAGCCTCACAATGAGTTACCAATAATGTGGTTCAAATTTGCTTTTGGTGAGATTCGAACCTAAGCCCTCTCACTTACAAGTGAAGAGAAATAGCACTAAACCGTAATACTAAGTAGCAGATCAATAGTTTTAATATATTTAAATTTAGATCAACTAAGAGACATAAATCCAAACAAATCTTTAATATGCTACCATCCACTTAAATTTAACTTATTGTTTTAAACGTTACACAAACGTCTTGACCACAAATCGTGACCCGCCTCCAGGTTCTCTTTCTCACTTCTCTGCCCTAAGTTTTCTAATTCTTCCTGTTTTTCCTACACTAGTTGTTCTACCCTTCCTTGTTTCCCGTCTTCTATATCATCGTTGTCATAAGCTGATTAATCCGATATATAGGAGTATGTAGAAGGATGGGGATGGAGCCAAATGTGTATACTTATAACATTCTGTTGAAGGCAATGTGTAAGAACGATAGGGTGGATGGTGCTCGCAAATGTCTTGTTGAAATGTCAAAGAAGGGCTGTTTGCCGGATGCTGTGAGCTATACGACTGTAGTGTCTGGCATTGTGTAGACGGGGGAAGGTGGAGGAAGCTAGGGAGCTTGCTTGAGGATTGATCTCATTGTCCTTGTTTATAATGAATTGGTGAATGGGGTGTGCAAAGAGTGTAAGATTATAAGGAGGCTTCGGAGTTGTTGGTTGAAATGGTGTGGATAAGGGAATAAGTGGTAATGTTATCACATACTCGAAAATTAATAATACGATCAATGATACGAGGAACGTTGAGTCTGCTCTTGCGGTTTTGGCTCAAATGTTCGTGAGAGGATGCAGCCCTAATGTTCACACCTATGCTTTCTTGATAAAGGGTTGCTTTGTGGAAGGGAGAGTGCACGAACCTCTTGACTTGTGGAAGCGGATGATTTGCGAGGGATTTAGGCCGAATATTGTTGTATATACTGTTGTGCTAGGATATCACCAAACCCGTTGGAACTAACTCAAGCTAACCCGCAGGAAATATATCAAATGGAATGCAAGAACAAAATATAAAAGACATCAAGATTTTAACCAGGTTCCTCAACAGTCCGTGTAACTAGAGTACGTCCTCGGAGTAGTAGGAGCTCACCCAATAATCCACTATCAATCAAATGGGAGTTTACAAAGTGTTGGCAAGCTCACAACCCAAAACCCCAATACAACCAATAGCTCACACACACCAAAGAAACAAATAGAGAGAAATATAATGAATAATTTCTTCTCTATACGAAGCTCAAAGCTAATACACAAATACAACTTTGATTGAGTGAGTACTAACAAAGAAAGAAAATCACCTTCCTTTCTTCTCTTCAAATGGGGGTTGTGGCACCTCTTTTCTGCTGTGTGTTTTCCCTCTGTATTTCTGCTCATTGTTTTTCTACTCACTTAAACAGAAAGGCAGCAGCTGCCTTAATTCATAACCTAGCCATTCCCGTGGCTTTTCACATGGGCCAAAGAAAAAAAAAGGACTTTAGACAAGGTGCCTTTTTTTCTCCCAAAACAAGGAAGGGACACAATAATGTTGTCCACCTTTTCTTTTCTTTTATTTAATCAAAAGTTGGCCACTTGGCCACTAATTCAACATATACTACTCGAATACATGATCTCTGCACTAACAGAAAAATGGGGATGCTGTATCTGTTTGCTATGAGATGGAGATGAATGGCTCCTTTAGACCACATATAGCTCTCTTATTGATGGCTTTGCAAATGCAGGTACCCTTGTTGGCTGCCCTTCAACGTACAAGATGATGAACTGTGGTTGCTGCCCTAATGAGCTTCTGATTAACCCCCAAATCTCTAATCAGCCCATGTATCCAAATGGCCTCCTTTATAGCTTCAGCAACTGCCATATATTCAGCCTCTGTAGTAGACAAGGCAATAGACGACTGCAAAATGGACCTCCAACAAACTGGCCCTTGAGCCATAGTAAACACATAGCCTGTAGTAGACTTCCTTCCATCCAGATCACCTGTATAATCTGAATCAACATAACCAACTGCAAAATGACTAATGCCAGAGTCATCTCTCTCAAAGCATAAACCAACGTCTCTAGTACCATGGAGATACCTCAATATCCACTTAGCTGCTTGCCAATGCTCTTGACCTGGATTATGCATATATTGACTCACCATGTCAACTGCATGAGCAATAGCCGGTCTAGAGCATACCATTGCATACATCAAACTACCAACCAAATTTGCATATGGTATATTTTTCATTTGCAGCTTCTCTTTATCAGTTTTAGGACATTGTAGAGAACTCAATTTAAAATGAGGAGTCAAAGGAGTACTAACCGGTTTGGTTGAATCATGAACTCCAAACTTTCGAATCAACTTCTCAAGGTATTGTCTTTGATTTAAACTGACCAAACCCTTCTCTCTATCTCTAGTGATCTCCATGCCAAGGATCTTCTTTGCTTCACCAAGATCCTTCATCTCAAACTCATTCTTCATTTGCTTCTTCAATTTCTCAATCTCTTCGACATTCTTTGAGGCAATCAACATCATCAACATATATCAACAAATAAATGAAAGACCCATCTTGCAAATTCTTGAAGTACACACAATGATCATATTAACTTCTAGAATAATGTTGGCCTCTCATAAATTTATCAAACCTCAAATACCATTGCCTTGGAGATTGCTTCAAGCCATAAAATGATTTCTTCAATTTGCAAAACAAATTCTCCTTCCCTTTCACTGTATACCCATTCGGTTGACACATATAGATCTCTTCATTCAAATCACCATGTAGGAAAGTCGTCTTCACATCAAATTGCACAAGCTCAAGATCATATTGTGCAACAAGAGCTAACATAATGCGAATTGAGGAGTGCTTCACAACCGGAGAAAAGATTTCATTGTAGTCAATGCCCTCATTTTGTGCATACCCTTTAGCAACTAATCTTGCTTTGAATCTCACATTGCTTTTCTCATCAGTATCTTCCTTCTTGGCATACACCCATTTGCAACCGATAGCTTTCTTGCCCTTAGGCAATTTAGCTAACTCCCAAGTCTTATTCTTCAAGAGAGAATTCATCTCATCACCCATGGCATTGCACCACCTCTCATTTTCTTCACTCTCAATTGCTTCCTCAAAATTGGATGGAATATCATCAATGATAATAGGTAGAGTAAAAGCAACATAGTCACTATACCGAGTTGGCTTGGTAATTTGTCTCTTTCCTCTGTTCTTGACAATATACTCTTGAGGTGAAACTTGCTCTTTAACTTGAATAGAATCTTCAAGTTCAACTTCTTCAACATCCTCATGGTCTCCAACTTCTTCACTTGTAGTGGCTTCGACATCAGCAGAAATAGGATTTGAAGTACCAGAGGTAACTTTCTCAAGCTCCACCTGTTGGACATCTTTCACATTCTTCTCAGAGTCTTTGAACATACTTTCTTCATCAAATGTCACATCTCTACTGATTACAAGTTTCTTCAACTTTGGGCATCATAATCTATAACCTTTGACACCACTACTAAAACCAAGAAAGATAGCCTTTTTGACTCTAAGATCAAGTTTATTTTCAGTCACATGAAAATAAGCAGGTGAACCAAAAATACGGATATAGTCATAATCAGAAGAAGGTTTTCCAGTC